AGAAAGGAACAATTTTTTAATTCCAAACTTGATTTTAGCTTACTCAAGTGGAAATTCACGTGGTGCTTTTCTCTTTTTAATGCCAAAGCAGCATTATTTTGTTTGGTTGGTTGGTTTTTTTTTTCTTTTTTATCTTCCATTCACATTGCAGTAAGACAATTCTTCAATTTGATCTCCTAGTAAAGTAACATTCCTTTTTTTTTTTCCACGTAATGCCAAAGTTACGATCAAAGGAGTTAACTTTTTGCATGACTCTTGCTAGGATATTTTCCTTATTTCACTAGAATTATAGCACTGCGAAAGTCCCTTCCCAACATGCGTGCAACTAGGAGATGTCTGCCGCCTGGAGAACAAAGTCCTTTTAGAAGACAGATTGTATCAGCTATCCCACATCGAAATATGTTCTACACAGGCGCCTTCTTGGAATCTATATATACTACATGCTCTTCAATTGTGAATATCAATTCGCAGTTTGTGCAAGCTATTTGAGTCTAGTTTTATGGATTCGAAAGCGTTAACGCAAAGGTAATTTCTTCTTCTTTTCTTGTGCTTTCTTCTTTTATTGGTTTCTCTTTTTTTTTTGTAGGTCAAACAAGAAGGATTTGTTCTTGTTTAACAAGATGAACCATGCAAGAAGAAGACAACCACGGGGTGTGAGGGAATGAGTACTCATCCTTGTCCGACTATCGGAGAGATTACTCTCAATGTGGCTCGACTATCGGAGAGGCCAACTTAAGGTGCAAAGGGACTCATATGTCCACCTTAAGATTGGAAGATTTATATGTCCACAGAATGTGACTTGACTATCGGAGAGATTACTCTCAAAACGGCCCGACTATCGGAGAGATTACTCTCAATGTGGCCTGACTATCGGAGAGATACTCTCAATGTGGCTCGACTATCGGCGAGGCCAACTTAAGGTGCAAAGGACTTATATGTCCACCTTAAGATTGGAAGACTTATATGTCCACAGAATGTGGGCTGACTATCGGAGAGACTACTCTCAAAACGGCCCGACTATCGGAGAGATTACTCTCAATATGGCCTGACTATCGGAGAGATTACTCTCAAAACGGCCCGACTATCGGAGAGATTACTCTCAGTGTAGCCTGACTATCGGAGAGATTACTCTCAAAACGGTCCGACTATCGGAGAGATTACTCTCAATGTGGGCTGACTATCGGAGAGATTACTCTCAATTTGGCTCGACTATCGGTGAGGCCAACTTAAGGTGCAAAGGGACTCATATGTCCACCTTAAGATTGGAAAGTTATAGATCCTTTTAAGGACAAACCCGCGAAGAGGCCAACTTAAGGTGCAAAGGGACTTATATGTCCACCTTAAGATTGGAAAGTTATATAGCTTCAACTCGAAGACGACATCGACTCGAACACTTGGAAAACTTTGAAGATTTGGCGGACTTTGCAGACTTCAACTCGAAGATTTGGAGGGCTTAGACAATTTACCTTTAAGATCGGCGAATTTGAAGACTGAAACTTGAAGACCGACGAACTTGAAGACTTCAACTTTGAGACTTGGAGAGCCTAAATATTCAACTTGAAGATCAGCGAATTTGAAGACTTCAACTTGAAGACCGACGGACTTGAAGACTTCAACTTTGAGACTTGGAAGGCCTAAATATTTCAACTTGAAGATCAGCGAATTTGAAGACTTCAACTTGAAGACCGACGGACTTGAAGACTTCAACTTTGAGACTTGGAGGGCCTAAATATTTCAACTTCTCTTTTGCTTTACATTGTTCGACTTTTATCTTAGTCGCATAATTTTCAGCTTTACGTGCTTGTAACAAATGATTCATATCTTGTCGTGGGAGAGTCCAAATAATAAACCGTTTGATGACTTCAATATCTAAATTATATCCAATACTTAGAATTAAAAACCTTCAGAATCGCGCCGGATAATATTTTGAAACCAACTTTAGATTTCACCATGTTGAAAATTTCAGATTTGCGCAGTCTCACCAAAAAATTCATATCTCGGTGTAGAAATATCGAAATTGCAAACCGTTTGATTTCAAGAAAATTAGACTTCAAGATCTAGAACATATCCAAAATTCTCAATCAAACAACTTCAGAATCGTCCCGGATAATATTTTGAAATCAACTTTATATTGCACCATGCTATCAATTCCAGATTTGCGCAGTCTCACCAAAAAATTCATATCTCGGTGTAGAATATCGAAATTGCAAACCGTTTGATTTCAAGAAAACTAGACTTCAAGACCTAGAACATATCCAGAATTCTCAATCAAACAACTTCAGAATCGTCCCAGATAATATTTCTAAATCAACTTTATATTGCACCACGCTATCAATTCCAGATTTGCGCAGTCTCGCCAAAAAAATCATATCTCAGTATGGAAGCCTCGAGATCGGAAGATGTCTTACTTGCCATCAATCGAAATTTAAGAGCCATATTCTCACAAATATCTTGAGTTCAAGTCTCACTGAATTTGAAACGTTGTGCCAAGCAATCTTTTCCTTATACTTGTGTTTCCTTTTGATGTCTCTCTTCTCTTCCCCCTTTTTTTTAAGGCAGAGGGCGGACTTGGAGACCAACAAACTTGAAGGTTTGGCGAACCTGAAGACATAGAGAATCCCTGGACTTCAATGCAAATACTTGACATCCTCCTAAAATTGGCGCATTGAAGATATCAATTTACCATGGAGGGTTGCCCTTTTAAATCAAATGAGGTCAAAGTTCAGTAGGAGGATGTCATTTCAGCTTGATCTTACATTCCTTCATACTTCATTCGAACAACAATTGGGGCAATATGTATCTTTTAAACTTATGCGACTGAACTTAGAATGAAACTCTAAGCTGCCTACGTACCTCGGTGAATAGGATCAAGTCATACCGTAGTTCAGACTAGGTATATGATGTGCCGGAGAATTTCGGCACATTTCAATACTAATTGCTTAGATTTTAGCTTGTTTTAATGCAATTATCTCCTTTACTTATGTAATTTTGGTGTTTTTACAATACATAAGGACTAAGGACCCAGGAGCATGGAAATGAAAGCAAAAATGACAAGAAAAGAGCAAAATGTAGCAACAAGATGGTTCTGCGACGCATTATGCTATTGCAGATCACATATGCGAGCCGCAGAATGAACACTCAGATCGCAGACAAAAACAGACTCCTGGGAAAATTTCATGTCAAGAATGCGGTCCACTATGCGACCGCAAAACCTGTCTGCGAGCCGCAAAGTAAACCGCAAACCAACCATGAAGGTTGCTGAAGGACGAATGTGCGATGCAAAATGCGATCGCGTTTTAGCAATGCGAACCGCAGAGCTGGAATGCGAAGAAGATGTGAAAACTAGGGTTTCAGTCTGCGATGGGGACGTCCAAAATGCGGACCGCATGTCGCTTATGCGACAAGAATGCGACCGCATTTCTGACCTGAAAGGGTATTTTTGTCCGTTTTCTCTCACGATTTTCAGTCCACTATAAATAACTTTATGATGTTTTTGTGGGCTCATCTTGTCTAGTTTTTGAGCTACATTCCAAGACTAAAATATTCTTCACTTTTGGCATTTTGTGGGTCAAGAATCTTCACTTTGTAAGCTTTATGGCAATTAATATTCTCTTGTTTTTGTATTCTAGCATGAGTAGCTAACTTTAAATACTAAGGTTGTGCACCCTAAATGGGTGTTATTTTAATGGGTGTTTAACATTGAATATATATATGTAATGGTTGGTTGATATCTATTTACTTCTCATTCTTCATTTATTGTTGGTGGTTGCAAACATTAACAAGTGCCATTAAATTCTTTCTTTGCTTGGGAAAGTGGGTTAGAATTTTGGAAGAAGTAAATATCAAAGACTCAAGGCTTTACACCTTGTTTAATAAAATCGCTTAGGAATAAGTGGGTTTTATTTGGCATAAATTGGTTGATCTTAATTGCAACTCTTTCACATTTGGAAAAATTAGAAAGAGGAAATATTACCCAACTATTGGGAAATATTGGGTAGTCATTTAGACATCATTTGCATATCAAAAGGACCTTCCATTAGAAATATATCATATTGACACCGATAGTATTACACTACATTTAAGGGGACACAACCTTGGTTGCTTTAATCCAATTAATTACACTCTCAACATTCCAACTAGTTGTTATGTTAAAACAAACTCAATCCATACTCTTGCTACTTTTAATTCACACTCTTGTTATCGTTAACTGGGTAGAATTACGACTTTAGTCGAGCAACACACTATTCGAGTAACCTTTTCACACCTATTCCCTATGGGATTCGACCCCAACCTTGTTGGGTTACTATATTTGACATCGACCGCCTTACACTATTTCTTAAAAGTGTAATTTGAGCGTATCAAATTTTGGCGCCGTTGCTGGGGAATACAGTTTTGAAATTACTATTTAGTGTGTGCTTTACTTTACGTCTTATTCTATTCCATCACTCTTCGCTTACTTTGCTTGGTGTTGATAGGAAAACATGTCTGACTACGAGGAAGAAAATCCTTTTGCGGACATAGACGAGTATACTGATGATACAAATGCTATTGTACCTCTGGCTATTGGTGCCTCAACTTTCAAAGTGGAACATGGTCTAATCCTAATGCTCAAAGAGGAAGGGTTTTTCAGGAAATCTACCGATGATGATCCAACACAGCATCTTAGAAATTTCTTGGGAGTGTGTGCTATGCATAAGCAGAACAATGTCTCAGATGATGCCCTAAGGTTGAGGGTCTTCAAGTACTCACTAGCTGGAGACGCAAGGAAGTGGCTTCAAAACTTGCCACCAAATTCCATCTGGTCTTGGCCTGAACTTGTCCGGGCATTTCTAGCAAAGTGGTTCCCATAGAGCAAGAAGTCCGAGCTTCGAGACAAGATTTTCTTCTTCAAGCAACAACCAGGGGAACACTTACATGAGGCACGGGATCAATTCAAATTATATTTGGTGAGGTCTCCCAATCATGGTTTTCCAGACTCCATCTTGCTAGAGAAATTTTATATGGGTTTGGATCCTATGAACCAAGCTATAGCGAAGAATGCGGCGGACGGATCTTTTATGGACAAGTCATTTGCAAGAGTTACGCAAATACTTGACAAAATGGCAAAACACAATCAAGCTTGGCATTCTGAGGATACTTTAGGCGGAATTGCATATGGTTCTCCTTCCTTGACAAACTTGATCAAGGAAAATCAAGAGAGGGATCAAATAATTGCAGGGTTGGCCACAAATGTAAATGTGTTGACAAAAATGCTCACGGAAAATTAAACAAAAAAGGTGAATGTAGTTGAGGATGTGCAACCTACCTCCAATGAAGAGTTTGAAGAAGCTAATTACATCAACAATCCTCAAGGAGGGTATCAACGACAACATTATCAGGGTCAGGGGCAGCAAAGTCAATGGAGGCCGAACCCGCAAGGGCAAGGCAACCAACAATGGCGACATGACCAAGGTGGCTCAAACCAAGGGAATTGGAACAACAGCAACAACTTTTCCAACCGGAGTTCAAACCCCTATGTTCCTCCAAAGGGTCAATATTCGAACCAAGGGTCTTCTAGTGAATCTAAGTTGGAAGCTATGCTCGAGCGAGTGTTGCAAAATCAAGAAAAATCCGATACTTCAATGAGGAACATGACCGAGGTTGTTGGATCTCATACCGCCTCCATCCAAAAATTGGAGATGCAAATGAGAGACCTCTCCAAAGAGCAAAATCCAAAACAAAAGGGAACACTCCTAGTGACACGGTTGCAAATCCAAGAGGTAGTGGGAGTGGCCCAACTTCTCACATCATGGAAATCACTACTAGGAGTGGGAAAGTGCTACACGGAGAGGGCGAAAAAACGGTTAAAGCAGAAGAGTCCGAACAAAGAGTTGAGGTTGAAGAGCCAAGGTTGTCGAGGTTGAAAAGATTCTGAAAGAGTCGAATGTGCAACAAAAGAACAGGGAAGAGGTGAAGGAAAAAGTGAAAGAGACACCAAAAGCTCTTCCACCTATTCCTAGACCTCCTCCCCCATTTCCTCAAAGGCTCGCGAGAAAGATTGATGATAGCAAACTTGAAAAATTCTACGACATTCTCAAGCAATTAACGGTAAATATTCCATTTGTGGAAGCTTTTCAAGAGATGCCGGGGTTTGCTAAATATTTAAAGGATTTGATCACCAAAAAGAAGACCACAAAGAATGAGGTAGTAAACATGACTCACCGGGTTAGCTCTATTATTGCCACAACCAAAGTCCAAAAGAAAGAAGACACGGGAGCTTTCACCATTCCTTGCACCATCGGGGCCCGTGATTTTGCAAAAGCCTTATGTGATAATGGGGCTAGCATCAACTTAATGCCTCTTGCCATCTATAAGCAAGCGGGGTTAGGTATGCCAAGACCCACTAGTATGAGATTGCAAATGGCCGATCGGTCAATCAAACGCCCGGTGGGAATTGTTGACGATGTACTTATAAAAGTGGGGAGCTTTCATTTGCCCGCCGATTTTGTAATTCTTGATTGTGCGGTTGATAAGGAAATGCCTATCATTTTGGGGAGACCATTCCTAGCCACAGGGAGGGCACTCATGGATTCGGAGCGGAATGAAATTAAAATTCCGGGTGAATGATGAAGAAGTCACATTTCAAGCGAGCAAGGGTATGAAACTACCCCATGAGTATGAGAACATTTCAGTGATAGATGCTGTTGATGAGGTAGAAGGTGCTGTCGAAATGAAAATGGAAGAACAATGCCTTAGTGAGGCATTGGCGGCTATCTTGGTCAACTTTGATGGTGAAGACATGGATGGGTACATTGAGTCGGTAAATGCATTGGAGGGTCTTGGATCATACACTTATAATCCGGCAAAGCTTTTGCTTGACTTGGAGAATAGGGCCACACCTCCCGCAAAGCCATCAATCATTGAGCCGCCACAACTAGAGCTCAAGCCACTCCCCCCGCACCTAAGGTATAAATTTCTTGGCTCTAATGATACTTTACCCATAATCATTTCGTCTTTGTTAAATGATGTGCAGGTGGAACAATTGTTGGAGGTCTTAAAGGAGCATAGGCAAGCCATTGGATGGACGATTGCGGATATCCGAGGGATTCCCGCGGGAATTTGTGAACACAAGATCCAATTGGAGAGTGACATGAAGCCAAGTGTGGAACATCAACGACGGTTGAACCCGTCAATGCAATAGGTGGTAAAGAAAGAAATCATCAAGTGGTTGGATGCCGGGGTTGTCTACCCTATTTCCGATAGTTCGTGGGTGAGCCCGGTGCAATGTGTACCGAAAAAGGGAGGCATGACCGTAATTGAAAATGATAAAAATGAGCACATCCCAACAAGAACAGTGACCGGTTGGAGGGTGTGTATGGATTATCGGAAGCTCAACAGTGCCACATGCAAAGACCATTTCCCTATGCCTTTTATTGATCAAATGCTTGATCGGCTAGCGGGAAGGTCATTCTATTGTTTCCTTGATGGGTATTTCGGCTACAACCAAATCAACATCGCATTGGAGGATCAAGAGAAAACAACATTCACTTGTCCCTCCGGCTACTTTTCAAAGGTGCATGATGTCCATTTTCTCCGACATGGTGGAGGATTTTCTAGAGGTCTTCATGGATGACTTCTCGGTAGTAGGTGACTCTTTTGAGCATTGTCTTAACAATCTTAGACAAGTGCTTAAGAGATGTGAGGAAACCAACCTTGTGCTAAATTGGGAGAAATGTCATTTCATGGTGGATGAAGGCATCGTATTGGGGCATAAAATTTCTAAACATGGCATTGAGGTTGACCGAGCTAAGATCGAGATTATTTTCAAGCTTCCTCCACCCACTTCCGTCAAAGGTGTTCGAAGTTTCTTAGGGCATGCCGGATTTTATAGCCGGTCCATCAAGGATTTTTCCAAAATTGCAAATCCTATGTGCAAGCTCCTTGAGAAAGACGCCAAATTTGTGTTTGACGAGAAATGCCTCAAAGCTTTTGAGGAATTGAAGCTAAGGCTCACCACGGAACCTATTATTGTCACACCCGATTGGTCTCTTCCTTTCGAGCTCATGTGTGACGCTAGTAGTGTAGCTATTGGAGCAATGCTTGGCCAACGTCACAACAAGGTTCTCCACCCGGTCTATTATGCAAGCAAGACACTCAATGGGGCGCAAATGAATTACACGGTAATTGAGCAAGAGCTTCTTGCCATTGTCTATGCTTTTGAGAAGTTCCGCGCTTATTTGTTGGGGTCCAAGGTGATAGTGTACACGGATCATGCTGCTCTTCGCTACCTTATGGCAAAAAAGGATGCAAAGCCACGGTTGATTCGATGGGTCTTATTGTTGCAAGATTTGACTTCGAGGTCAAGGATCGCAAGGGAACTCAAAATCAAGTAGCGGATCATTTATCAAGGCTTGAAGAAGCAGGGAGACCAACGGGAGATCTTGAGATCAATGATGCATTCCCGGATGAGCACATCTTGGCACTATCTAGCACTTTTGCTCCTTGGTATGCCGATATTGCTAACTATTTGGTGAGTGACCTTATTCCGGAGGGTTTGGAGTCCTATTAAAAGAAGAAGTTCTTGAGAGATTGTCGGCAATATCATTGGTAAGAGCCATACTTGTTTCGTGTTTGTGCCGACAACATCATCCGAAGATGTGTTCCAGAAGAAGAAGTTATGCCTATTCTAAAAGCATGCCATGACTCGCCGGTTGGGGTCATCATGGGGGAAATCGAACAGCGGCCAAGGTACTTGAATGTGGTTGCTATTGGCCGACAATCTATCATGATGCCAACCAAATGGTCAAGGCTTTTGACCAATGTCAAAGGCAAGGATCAATCTCCAAGAGGCATGAAATGCCTATGAACTTTGTGAAGGAGATAGAAATCTTCGATGTGTGGGGAATTGACTTTATGGGTCCATTTGTGAGCTCTTATGGGATGAAATATATCTTGGTAGCTGTGGATTATGTTTCTAAATGGGTTGAAGCAATTGCTTTTCCTAATAATGAAGCAAGAAGTGTGACCGCGTTCTTGAAGAAAAACATATTCACTCGGTTTGGCACTCCTAGGGCCATTCTTAGTGATGGTGGGTCTCAGTTTTGTAACAAGGCTTTTACGGGGCTACTAGAAAAATATGGCGTCAAGCACAAGGTGGCCACACCTTATCATCCCCAATCTAGTGGTCAAGTTAAGGTTTCCAATCAGGAGATCAAGAACATCCTAGCAAAAACTGTTAATGCAAATAGGTCAGACTGGTCAAGGAAGCTGGATGATGTATTGTGGGCATACTGCACAGCGTACAAGACTCCTATTGGTACTTCTCCATATCGGTTAGTCTTCGGCAAAGCTTGTCATCTACCTGTAGAATTGGAACACAAAGCCATGTGGGCTCTAAAATGGTTGAACTTGGATTGGGCTGAAGCTGCAAATTTGAGGTTGACACAACTGGCATCGGAAGATGGGGCCCGGACCTTCAAAGTAAATGGCCAACGCATCAAGCATTACCTGGGCACAGATGGAGAAAAACACTTGGTGGAGCAGCTGGCTCTAAAAGATGTTCCGTGTCTGACCACTGAGTGAATCCAAGGGACATCAACTCCGTCGTGCCACGACGTTAAATCAAGCGCTTCATGGGAGGCAACCCATGTGTGGTAACACTCTTTTGAATTTTCAATTTTTGATAGAAGTGTTAGAGTGCAGGGGGTCAAAAGATCACAACACATGGTGGAAATGCATGAGGAAGGTAAGAAAAAAATTGCTGTGCGAAGTCTGCTGCAAAGATACGGTCGCATTTTAACTATGCGGACCGCATTTTGATCGTAGACCCAAACAGTGGGTTTGGCTAAACTTGGGTGTCAGAATGCGATATGGTTGTGCACTATGTGGACCGTATTTCACTTATGCGATCGCATAGTGCACCGCATTTCTGACTCGTAAAGCATCTCACTTGAACCTACCGCATAACACATATGGGCTCGCATTGTGTGTTATGCGGTGCCTACCTACCGCATAATTGACAAGGTAAGTGGCCACATTCTCTTGTCTGTAACTCGCTCAAAACAAAACAAAAACAAAAAGAAAAGTAAGAAGAACAAAGAAAACAAAAAAAAAGCTAAGGGGGAAAAATACGAATAGCACAGGGAGGTTAACAACAAGGAATCGAATCGCTTAAGGTTCAAATCTTCAAACTCATCCCCGTAGTGTGCACACTAAGCATCGCCGGTATGTACCCGTTTNAGGGAAGCAAACAACGGGGGCTAACACACACGACTAGTAATCGAATCGTTCAAGCGACCAAATCCCATCTTTGTAGTGTGTACACTAAGCCTCACTGGTATGTACCCTTTCCCCAATATTCCTGTTCAAGATTCATGTTTGTGTGCTCTTTGATTCTCATTCTTCCCGTTCTGCAAAAATGTGATTATGTGTTGCTTTGTGTAGTTGTTTTTCCGTAGCATAGTCGTTTCTGGGTTGGAAACTATCTGGGGTAATGGGTAGAAGGAAATAGGACCACCACTGTTGAGATGATTGTTTGAATCTTGAAGACGAAGGCATTTGCGGCCCGCAAAGTCAAAATGCGGTCCGCATTTTGGCCGCAAACTTAACCCTAGATCTTCTGGTGAAGATGGTGAAATGCGGTGACTTTGCGACCGCATAATTGATATGCGGACCGCAAAGCTACCGCAAAGTGACACAGACCACCCAGTTATGAGCCATGCATTTTGCGGTTGTTCTGCGATCGCATTCCCCACTTTGCGGTGGAGTTTGCGATCTCATTTTGTGATGTATGTTTTGGGCAAGTCAGTTCTGCGATGGTTATGCGGTCCGCATAGTGGTTATGCGACCGCATAACCCACCGCAGACTGAGACCCATTGAGACTAACAGATTTACGACGATTCTGCGGTCCACATTGTGGTTTTGCGACCGCAAATCATGTCGCACTTCAAGTATTTCCTTTAAATTCTTCTATTTCTTTCTCAGTATTGCTAATGTGTCACTCATACTTCACCATTGTGCAGATATGGCTCCAAAGAAACACTCAGCCTCTGCATCAAAAAGGGCTTCCTCCAGTCGCCAGGAATCACAAGCAAAACGTTCACGGACGGAAGCAAATGTGCCAAACCCCTCCCAGTCTGAAGAGGAGGAGGTCAGGCCCTCAGTTAATTTAGAGGCTGAAGAAAGAAGGAAACGTGGCGAAGACTTCCACCTCCGATTTGGGGTTGAGGGGTCCAGGGAACTATACAGAGAAGGGCTCACCAAGCGCAAAATCCTGGCCGAAAAACAATTGAGCTTGAACGGGCTGAAAGACCAGTACCCCCACATCCTGGAGAACATAAAAGCACGGAGATGGGAGTGCTTCACTGAGCCACCCACTGAGTACAATGAAACCCTTGTGCGGGAATTTTATGCATCATATGGAGCTTCTAGGACAGCGCACCACAAACGCAACAGAATCTTTGTTGACACTGTCCTTGTTCGGGGGCAGAGTGTGTTTTGCAACAGTGACACCATAAATGAATTGTATATCCCTAGCTGGAGAGCGGGCACAGCTGAGTACGATGCTAAATTTGCAAATAGGGAGAATGAGCGTGGGTGGATTGCTTCGGTGATAGCAAAGGGGACC